TTTGGTCTTTTTGAGACAGGGTCTCCCTGTAGCCCCAGCTGTCCTGGAACTCACTATGTAGGCCAGGCTGGCCATGAACTCACAGAGATCCACCTGCCTCTGCCTCCTGAGTGCTGGGATTAAAGGTGTGCACCACCACACCCAGCTATAATTTTCTGTTTTTTGAGATAGGGTCTTACTATGTATTGCTCGCTGGTCAAGAGCTCAATATGTAGACCAGGCTGATCTTGAAACTCTCAGAGATCTGCCTCTCTCTGCTGGGATTAAAGGCATGAGCCACCATACCTGGCCCCCATTATAATTTGTCGTATTTGTATTGTGTAAGTATTCTGGGCTGGTAGAATGGAGATGCAGAGGATAAACTTTTTAATCAAGGGGTTGGAAAGCTGGCTCATGTGGTTAAGAGTGAGTACTGCTCTTGCAGGGGACCTGAGTTCAGTTCCCAGCACCATTGTCAGCTCACAACTGCCTGTGACCACCTGCAGCGGCTCTGACATCTTCTGGTCTCCAAGGGCACTGTACTCAAACTTACACTTAAAAGTAGAAATAAAAGCTGGGTGTGGTGGCGCACACCTTTGATCCCAGCACTTGTGAGGCTGAGACAAATCTCTGTGAGATGGAGGTTAGTTTGGTTTACATAGGGTGTTCCAGGCTGGCTGGGGCTACAGGGAGACCCTGTCTTAAAAAATAAAAGTAAAATAAAACCGATTAACCAAACAAAAAATCTTTTATAGAAAAAAATTCTCAAATTTCATTTAAGATTCAGTATTGAAAGACACACACACAAAAATATATGATTCTGTTTCTTCTTTAGCCACTTTTTGGTAGTGATGAGAGTGATTTTCGACAATTGTATTTCTGTTTGACATTTTCATGTCCTCTTATAATTTTTCCTTTAGCTCTATTCTAATACAGCTCAGCATGTCTTACAAAGAAAATCGTTTAAGTTTTGCCTCCCTAAAATCATGTTTTTAACCTTTTTTTTCAAGACAGGGTCTTGCTGTGTAGCCTAGGTTGGCCTTGAACCTTGAACTTACAGTGATCTTCTTCCTCTGTCTCCTGAATGGTAAATTACAGGCACATGTCAATTAAATTTACTTATTAATTTTCTCAGATTTTAAAAACACATGCATAAAGTATTTGTTAACTGAGGTTGAACCTAAATGAGTAGCACAGATGCGAAGAGTATTGGTAGCGAATCCAAACTCAGAATAAGCTGAAATCAGTGAAAAATGAAAATGAAAAGTGATGTACCTCAGTTGCTAGAGAGCTTACCTAGCATCACCATGTTAAAACCGCCTGAAATCTCAGCACTGGGAAAGTGGAGGCAGGAAGATCAAAAGTTCAAGGTTATCCTCAGGTACACAGGGAGTTGGAAGCCAGTCTGGGTACATGAGACCCCGTTTCAAGAAAAGAAGGAAAAGAAAATGAAAAATGATAAAAGTCTAGATTCCCTTTATTTTCTTCTTTAAAAAAGGATTTGTTTGGAGAGTGTTGGTGCAAGGTCAGGACTGGTCAGGGATCAATCTCAGCACATATTTAGCTGCTAAATACTATTTGGTAGAATTTGGCTCCTTCTAATTTAGTAGCTCCTGTTTTCTCTAAAAGTCATTTAAACTACTGAAACCCTTCTGGGTCCTCTGCTTGACCTGGAGCTTACTGACTAACTAGACAAGCTGGCCAGCAAGCTCTAGATCCTTCTCCCAGCCTATGAATATCCTCTTCTATGTGTCAGTTAAGTATGGCCCCTACCTACCACATAGAGGACTTAGTATTTTCCAAAATTTTTGCTACATATTTTGTTGCAATAATGTCTTTGAAATAATATTATAAGCTGGGCCTTGTGGCATGTGCCTTTATTCCAAGCATTTCAGAAGGCAGAAGCAGGAGAATTTCTGTGAGTTCAAGGCCAGCCTTGTCTAAGTAGCAATTTCTAGGTCAGCCAGGACTACATAGTTGAGACCTTGTCTCAAATCAAAACTAAACCACATCAAAATAATATAATATGATATCTAGGATTTACTTCAAAATAACTTACTGGGCTAGGCTGGGCAGTTCGTGAAAGGAATGACCCTGAAGTAATGTTAAAACGAGGTGATTAGTACTTTCGTTTTTCCTTTTGAGACAGGGTTTTGCTATACGTTCTGGGCTGGCTTGAGACTTACAGTGTGGACCAGGCTAGCATTGAACTCCCAGAGATCTGCCTCCTGAGTGCTGAGATTAAGGTCTGGGTCACCATGCCTGGGAATGGTTAATATTCTTAACTGGGAGATGAATTAGAAAATTTCCATACTAAAACAGTTAAAATGGAGTGTTAGGATTGTGTGTGGATATTTTCTTTGTATTTATTTTCTTTTTTAAAAAATTAAAAAAAATTTATTATTTTTATGTGTATGCATGTATTGCCTGCATGTAGGTAAGTGCACCCGTGTCGTGCAATGCCTGAGGAGGTCAGAAGAGGCTGTCAGATCCCCTGGGACTGGAGTTAGAGATAGTTGTTAGCTGCCTTGTGGGTGCTGGGATTCAAACCCGGGTCTTCTGCAAGAACAGCCAGTGTTCTTAACCGCTGAGCCATCTCTCTAGCCCCTGTATTGTATTTTCTAACCAGTGTTGCTTTTGTTTTTCCCTTCTTTATGGAATATTGCATTGAATTGTGTACTATATTATCAAAGGAGTTTCCATTGCTTTAGATCCTTAGGATTTTTAGTATTACTTACTCTTTTTTTTTTCTTTTTATTTATTTATTTTTGGTTTTTTTGAGACAGGGTCTCCCTGTAGCCCCAGCTGTCCTGGAACTCACTATGTAGACCAGGCTGGCCTTGAACTTACAGAGATCCGCTTGCTTCTGCCTCCTGAGTGCTGGAATTAAAGGTGTGCGCCACCATGCCTGGCATTTTTCTTTTTATTTTATGTGTATGAGTGTATTGTCTGCATGTATGTGAGTGCACATGTGTTGTGCAGTGTAGCAGAGTTCAGAAGAGGGCTTCAGATTCCCTTGGAACTAGAGTTAAGGATGGTTCGTAGCCGCCATGTGTGTGTGCTGGGAATTGAACCTGGGTCCTCTGCAAGAGCAGTCAGTGCTCTTAACTGCTGAACCATCTCTCCAGCACCAGCATTACTTATTCTTACTATTTATTGTTTATTTTAGATTTTTACTTAATTTGTTTATTTATTTATTTATTTATTTATTTTTTGGTCTCTCTTTTTTTTTTTTTGAGACAGGGTTTTCCTGTAGCCATAGCTGGTTTGGATTTACTATGTAGAACAGGCTGGCCTCAAACTCACTGAGAGCTGCCTGCCTCTACCTCCTGAGTGCTGAGATTAAAGGTGTGTGGTACTACACCTGACTAGTTATTGTTTATTTTGCCTCCAAACTACTTCAGTGTATTACCCATTGAGGTTTGTAGCCTGTTGGCTGAATATGTGCTTCTCAGTTGCTGCTGTAACTGGTGGTCTGCAGACAGTCCTGAGAGTAACATGGAGATCTGAGCAGCTGGAGTGGTACCAGCATTTGCAGTGTCGGGGGACTGACATTCATTGGTTTCACCCTCCTTCTGCTTTCATTAAATAATTTTGTCATCTGTTATACTGAGAAGGCAGAAAAAGAAAAGTTGTTACTTTGTTTACACCTTGACACCTTCTTTATTTTTTTGACTTTCTTTTAAGAGAGGGCCTCACTGTGGCTTCCCACCTCAGGGGCCATGCACTGTCATGTCTGTCTAATATGGTGTTGGGATTTTATTAGTTTGATGTTCATATTTGTTCTTACTGTTGGCTTGGGGCCTTGTGCATGGTAAACGTGCTTGTCTGCCACTAGTCCTTGACACTCAGCTTGTTGGTTTTACGCCCCTCCTGTCCAATCTGTGCCACTTTTCTTCCTATCTCAGTAGCTGATGTGTTCTTCCTTTTTTATTTTTTTAAATTTTATTTTAATGTTATGTATATGCATGTATTGCCTGCATGAAGGTAAGTGCACCCATGTCATGCAATGCCCGTGGAGGTCAGAAGAGGCTGTCGGATCCCCTAGGACAGGAGTTATGGACAGTTTTTAGCTGCCATGTAGGTGCTGGGATCTGAACCCAGGTCTTCTGCAAGAACAACCAGTGTTCTTAACTGCTGAGCCATCTCTCCAGCCCCGTGTTCTTCCTTTTTAAGGCCAATTTCTCTACTTTGTGCCCTGTTACTTCCTACCTTTCTAGGAATTTTCTGCTTTATGGAACATCTCTTTATTGGGGTTGGTCTCTTCCAGTTCTTTCTTCAGCCATGTACATATTCATATCCTTTAACCTTCTCGTATCCTCTAACACTCTTCTTCACGTGGCTTTTTGTTTGTTGTATGCATTGATTTATTCATTTTTTTCAGTCAGATTCCTGCCATACATGACTCTGTTACATTGCTGTTAATTTCAAAGGATGCTTTATACTTCCTGTTACTTAAAATATAACTAGATGATATTAGCCACTCTCTCCTTGAAACTATTTTACTGTTATCTCTTTTAACAGTTTTTGTTTAACCTCTTATACACTACTTGAATTTTCATTTGTTTGTTTTTGAGACAAGGTCTTATTATATAGGCCTAGTTGGCCTGGAACTTGCTATGGAGACCAGGTTGGCCTTAGAACTCCCAGAGATCTTCCTGCCTCTGCCTCCAGAGTGCTGGGATTAAAGGCATGCCTCCCCATGACCAGCCCTCTTAAATTACCTGTGGGTTTCCTCTCTGAGTTCTCCTTTTCCTGTTGATCCTGAATTTATTTTTCAGGAACATGGTGCTAGTTACTGCTTCTTTGGTTTCAGCCATCACTTAACAGGTTGATGACTATCCAAGTGAGAAATTCAGTTTTCTCTCTTCTGAATTCCAATTGCTTTATATTCTGCCTAGGGACCTCAATTTTAACTTACCTGTATCTGTACTATTATCTCTCCCCAGAACTTTCCTCTCCTTTACTCTCCATGTTCAGTTTTCGAAACCAACATGATTTTTTGGAGGTTATCAAATCATCATCTATCCTAGCTACTCTGCTGGTCATTAACCTTTGACTTTGTTTATATTCAGCATGTACTTATAGACTTGTTCTTTGCAGATGTTAAAGTTTTTTTTACTTATTTATTTTTATGTATATGAGTATTTGTAAGTGCACCACCATATGTGCCTGGTGCTTGTGGAACCCAGAAAAGAACATTGGAACTGCTGGAACTGGAATTAAGGTTGGGTGTTAGCTGCCCTGTAGGTGCTGGGAACTGAACCTGAGTCCTCTGCAAGAACAGCAAGTACTCTTAGACTGCTGAGCCATCTCTCTAGCCCCTCTTAGTCAAAGTTTTATCATTTCTTTTAGGAAACCTGTCCTGATCAAGCCTCTACCCAACTCCAATTTGGTGGAGTTCTGTAGTATCTTGTATATTGTTCTTTGTAAATCTCATCAAACAATATGGTAACAGTCTTCTTTGACTTCCTTTCTAAAGGTGTATGCATTTTGAAGGCAAAGATTCTCTTTTCTTTCTTTTTTTTAAAAAAATATTTTATTATTTTTATTTTATGTGTATGAGTGTATTGCCTGCATGTATGTGAGTGCACCTGTGTCGTGCAGTGCTGCGGAGGTCAGAAGAGGGCTTCGGATTCCCCTGGAACTGGAATTAAGGACGATTTGTAGCCGCCATGTGGGTGCTGGGAATCGAACCCAGGTCTGGGAATCGAACCCAGGTCCTCTGCAAGATCAGTCAGTGCTCTTAACCAATGAGCCATCTCTCCAGCCCCAGATTCTCTTTTCTTATAGTATGCCTAGAGTTCAGTATTGAAACAAAGATAAACATAGAAATTGTTTCTTGGGTGAGTGAAGAAGCCTCACTTTCTGATCATAGAGAAAATAATTTCTGTCTCAGTTATTTCTTGCATATGGGACGCTACATATAAATGGAAGAATTTTTTAAGAAAAAGAATTATTTTGCAGTAACATGAAAGACTGCTTTTAGAAAAACAGTATTTCTGACTGGGCGTGGTGGCCTTTAATCCCAGCACTCCGGAGGCAAAGGCAGGTGGATCTCTGTGAGTTGGAGGCCAGCCTGGTCTACATAGTGAGTTTCCAGGACAGCTGGGGCTACAGGGAGACCCTGTCTCAAAAAAACCAAAAAAAAAAAAAAAAAGAAAAAGAAAAACTATTTCTGTTATTGATATATAATTTGTATTCATAACTATTGTCACCTTTAATTTGTAGTCTTTAGACAACTTTATGTCAAACAATGGACGATATCAGCATTACCTGGGTGGTGCTCCCAGCCAGCACTTGGAAAATGCTGGTTTTCATGAAGATGCCCACATATCTCTTGGAAATGGCAACTTTGGGAGTATGCAGATGGTAGCTGTTGAAGGAAGAGGTGAAGTAAAGCATGGAGGAGAAGATGGCAGAAGTAACAGTGGAGCGCCACATTGTGAGAAGCGAGGTGGAGAAAATGAGGACTTCTCTGTCAGAAGAGGGAGAGGTGTGTCTATCTCCCCCCCCCTTCCTTCCTTCCTTCCTTCCTTCCTTCCTTCCTTCCTTCCTTCCTTCCTTCCTTCCTACCTTCCTTCCTTCCTTCCTTCCTTCCTTTTGAGGTTTTTGAGACAGAGTCTCATTGTGTAGTTCTGGCTGACTTAGAGTTTCTAATCAATCGTTCTGGCTGTGGCTGCCAAGTGCTAGAGTTACAGGCATGTGCTCTATTCCCTATTTATTTGTTAATCTTTTGTGCAGTATTCTTTTTTTTTAAGAGTAGATCATTTGTTGCCAGGCGTGGTGGAGCACGCCTTTAATCCCAGCACTCAGGAGGCAGAGGCAGGTGGATCTTTGTGAGTTGGAGGCCAGCCTGGTCTACATTACATAGTAAGTTCCAGGACAGCTGGGGTTACAAGGAGCCCCTGTCTCAAAAAAGACAAAAAAACCAAAAACCAAAACAAAAAAAGTGTGTGTGTGTGTGTGTGTGTGTGTGTGTGTGTGTTTATGCTACAGCATAAATGTTGAGGTCAGAAAACAACTTGTAGGAGTTGGTTTTCTACTCTCTGGGTCCTGTGCGTTGAACTCAGATCATCAGGCTTGTAGACCAGGCTGGCCTTTATCTCACAGAGATCTGCTTGCCTCTGCCTCCTGAGTCCTGGGATTAAAGGCATGTACCACCACAGCAAGCTTAGTGTAGCTTTTAATATTTTAAAGACAAGCAAGTGAGGGGCTGGAGTGATAGCTCAGTGGTTAAGAGTACTGACTGTTCTTGCAAAGAACCTGGGTTTCGTTTTGAGCACCCACACGGCAGGTAGCATTCGTCCGTGACTCCAGTTCCAAGGGAATCCCAACGCTGTCCTCTGACTCTGTAGGTATTGCACAGCATGGGTGCACTTACATTCATACAGGCAATACACTCATACACATAAAATAAAAAATATTTAAAAAAAGACAGTGAAGTGTTTCCAGTTTTGTTACCTTTTTAAAGAGTATTTGAACATGTGAGGAATTATATACACATGCTCATATATTAGTAAATTGTATACAGTCTTCCCCTAAAGTTCTAGAATACATCAATATAAATAGAAGTTTATGTCTTTCTTTAATCCTGAGGTTTTATTTTATGTGCTTCCTGATCACTTTTCCTTTACTTTGGACATTTACACATTACAAAATTAATAATGACTTTCTACTTTTAAAGAAATTTTATTTATGACTAACTTCACTTTCTTAAATAGGGCATAGAATGCCACATTTGGGTGAAGGAGCCAAAGGTCGCCAAGTAGGAAGTGGAGGGGATGGAGAACGTTGGGGCTCAGATCGAGGGTCCCGAGGCAGCCTCAATGAGCAGATTGCTCTAGTGCTCATCAGATTGCAGGAGGACATGCAGAATGTCCTTCAGAGACTTCATAAACTGGAGACACTCACTGCTTCCCAGGTAAGCTACAGAATTTGTCTATTCAGTATCTTCTCTTTGTTGATGCTATAAGGTAATATATAACCTGTTATTGATCAGATTTGCAGAATCATACTTTCACATGTTGTCACAAATTTTAGTAATTTTTATTAACAATAAAAAGAACTACTTTTGGAAAATAATCAAGACTGACTTGAAAGGTAAGATAAAAATTTTTAGAGTGTAAAATTTAGCAATACAAAGAGAGAGAGATACAGCTGTGGCTTAGCATGTACACGGTCCTGGGTTCAGTCAGCACTGAAAGGAAAAAATGAGAGCACTGGAATTACAGAGTGGATACCTGAAAATAGAAGAAAAATTTCTGGTAAACACTGAAGTTTAAAGAATAGAAACTTCTACCAGTGCCTAACAGTTCATTATTAGAGATTCATTATTAAAGAGTCATTCCTTTATACTAAATACTGTCTTCTATTTGTATTCTTTTAAAAATGCTGGTTAGGGGCGTGGTGGTGCACACCTGTAGTCCCAGCACTTGGGAGGCAGAGGCAGGCGGATCTCTGTGAGTTCAAGGCCAGCCTGGTCTACGTAGTGAGTTTCAGGACAGCTGGGGCTACAGGGAGACCCTGCTTCAAAAAGACAAAAATAAAACAAACAAAAAATGCTGGTTAGAGGTAAGATGTTAAGTTTGTACTTTTTTTTTTAACTTATTATTTTTATTTTATTTGTATGGGTGTATTGCCTGTGTGTGTGTGTAAGTGCACCTGTGTTGCACAATGCCTGCATAGGTCAGAAGAGGGCGTTGGATATCCCTGGAACTGGAGTTAGTTGCCATGTGGGTGCTGGGAATTGAACCCAGGTCCTCTTCAAGAGCAGCCAGTGCTCTTAACTGCTGAGCCATCTTTCCAGCCCAAAGCTGCTAATTCTTAAGTGTAAATTAGTTTTAGTATCAGAAATTTAAAGCCAGAGATTAATGTAAAGTGATTGTTTGATCTTCACTGTCTTTTTGCCAAGGATATATCATCCAAGGATGTTAAATTAAACCCTTGAAAAGGAGGCATAGTAGGGCTGAGGGTAGAGCTTGGTGGTACCTTACTTTCTAAGGCCAAGAGTTCAATTCCTAGCACCATAAAAGAGAGACGATAATATAACTATTCATTTGCAAAAGCTCAAGCAGAACCCACACATCCTAGGCTACTGGTCTTCCCCTTATGGCAGATTGCTATCCTTTGATGAGTAAAGTTGTCTCTAGAGGAAGAACTAAAAGGGGGAAAGGGTTCTCAGGAAGAGATGGTATAACTCACTTACAGTGTTGACTGGGCTTAGCTACAGATGTTTAAGATGCTTACTAGTGATCATCCCCATTTTTCTCTGGACTTATCCCTCTTTAATTAACATTGATTGGAGATAGAGAATAAAGGGGCACTGGGCATGACTGAGCTAATTCAAACATCCTATGACATCAAGTCATTATGCTGTAACTGATGTTAAGAAGAATTGGTAGTATTCATCTGTATTTCCCATCTCTGAGGAGACTGAGGCTAGAATCATGAGTTTTGGGGCAGCCTGGACTATATAGCAAGAGCTTGTCTTAAAAAAAAAAAAGCTCAGGCCAAAACTATTAAAAAATTTTTGATGGGAGGTTTGGGTCATAGATTTTACTGACTCAGTATCCTTAATGTGGAAATCCAAAATCAGAAATGTTCCAGAATTCAAAACCTTTTGACTATAATCTCAGCCATGAAAAAGGTACTCAAAAATTTTCAGATTTTGGGAGCATTTTGGATTTTTGGTTCTCTGATTAGGGATGCTCAACCATGTATTGAATAAGATTTTTTTTTTTTTTTAAAATTAACCTCAACAGGCTGGGCTTGGTGGCACACACCTTTAGTCTCAGCACTCTGGAGGCAGAGGCAGGTGGATCTGTGAGGTCAAGGCCAGCCTGGTTTACATAGTGAGTTCTAGGCCAGCTGAGGCTATCTCAAAAAGACCAAAAAACAAATAAAAACATTAATTGCAACAATGGGGATGGGTACTTTGGATGTGGCCAAGTGTTATGTACAGCACTTGCCTAGAGGAACAAAGCTTTGTTGGCTTTTCAGCACTGTAAACAAACAAATCAGTAATTCTTTATTTTAATCTAATAGCAATAGAATGATGACATTATTAGACTTTTTTCTGCATGAGTAGAAGTTATATAAAGCTACTATACATACACACACAAATTTTAAAGTTAAATGTATATGTGTGTATACATTTGTATGCATGAGTGCAGTGCCTGTAGAGGCCAGAAGAGGGCATCACATATCTCTTCTATTGGAGTTACAGGTGGTTGTGAGCGACATGTCCCACCTGGGTTCTGGGACCGAAATAGGGTCTTCTGTTAAAAGCCTTATTCATTCTTAACCACTAAGCCATCTCTTCAGCCCCCTGGATAAATCTCTTCAAAGTAAAAAAATTATGCTGTTAATTATACAGATAGTGGTAGTTCTTATCTGTAAGCAGGGGTCTTTAAGAATCTATTGCATTTATTGTTTAGAAAAACATTTATTGCTTCTTTTAGTACTTGCAATTTGACCCAGGCATTTGTTAGTAGTTGTTGCTTTAGTGAAGAATTATTATTATTATTATTATTTTCTTTTTGGTCTTTTTGAGACAGGGTCTCCCTGTAGCCCCAGCTGGCTTGGATTCACTATGGAGACCTGGCCCTCTAACTCACAGAGATCCACCTGCCTCTGCCTCCCGAGTGCTGGGAGGCCACCACGCCTGGCCTAAGGATTATTTTTATCTGTTCTTAGAGAAATGTGACCCAAGATAAATCATTAGATATCTAAGAGCCCCCACTCTTTTTTTTTTTTTTTTTTTTTTTTTTTGATACAGGGTCTCCCAGTAGCCCCAGCTGGCCTGGAACTCACTATGTAGTCCAGGCTGGCTTTGAACTCACAGAGATCTGCCTGCCTCTGCCTCCCGAGTGCTGGGCTTAAAGGTGTGTGCCACCACGCCCAGCACCCCCACTCTTTTATTTATTTATTTTTTTTCAAGTTTTTTTGTAGCCCTGGGTAGCTTGGAGCTCATCATCCTCCTACCTCTGTTGTCCAGGCACTAGGATTACAAAGTTTGCCTCTCACACCTGGCTAGGAGCCCACTTTTCCAAGTGTACCCTTTATTGCATTTAGTCTGAGAAGTCGTGCCATATTTAAATTTCTTGGTTTAGTATTATTGCACATTACTACACCTAACGACATGAGAACCATTAACTCTTAATCTTTAACCTTGGCATTCTGTACTAGAACTGCAACATGCTATCTAACAGCTTAGTGCTCTGTAAGGACCAACACTACATCCAAAGGCAGCTAATTTAGTTTCACATAAGCTACAGTCATACTGGGCTTCTAGAAATAATATTCCCCACAACAAAGAAATTTAAAAAAATCTTCTCTCACCCCGACCTTCCTTCACTACTGTTTCCTGAGCTTGCCAGTGGGTTCTATCTTCTTCTGGGGTGAACTTGCTAATATTTCTGTTCAGAAGGCTACTCCCAAATTAGCCACAATTTGTGCCTTCTTCCACCACACAACGTACAATTGCTTGCAAACCTCCTTTTCTGACGTGTCCCGTGATAGCATTTATTACCACCTGATATGCTGTACATTTCCCTACTTTCTTATTATCTGTACTTCTATTTTAGTTTTGGCTCCTTAGTCTATCTTTAGGCCCACAATAGTGATTTGTACATGATAGATGCCCAGTAAACATTAAAAAAATAGTATGTTGGGCTGTGCGTGGTGGTATATACCTTTAATCACACTGGGGAGGCAGAGGCAGGCAAATCTCCCTGCGTTCGAGGCCAGCCTGATCTACATAGCGAGTTCCAGGCCAGCTGGGGTTATAAGGAGACCCTGTATCAGAAAGACAAAAAAAAAATCTTAAATTTGTTCGAGAAGCTCATAAATGTATGCAATGTATTTTGATTACACTCTCCTGCCCTACTCCCCCGACAACATACACCCCTCCCAACTTCATGTCCTCTTTTTAAAAAAAATACTTTTATCATTTCTATTTTATGTGTATCCATGTATTGCCTGTATGTATGTAAGTGCACTGTGTCGTGCAATGCATGCAGAGTACAGAAGAGACTGTTGGAGCTGCTGGAACTGGAGTTATGGACAGTTGTTAGCTACTTTGTGGATACTGGGGTTCAAACCCAGGTCTTCTGCAAGAACAGCTAGTGCTCTTAACCACTGAGCCATCTCTCCAGCCCCACTTCTTTCTTTCCAGAGGTTTATTTTTGATTGTGTATCTGTGTGGGGGTATGTGCACATATGAGTGGAGTGCCCAAGGAGGCTAGAGAGATTCCCTGGAACTGGACTTAACAGGCAGTTGTGAACCACCGTGTGGGTGTTGGGAACTGAACCTGGGCCCTCCAGAAGAGCAGTAAGTGCTCTTAACTGCTGAGTCATCTCTTCAGTTCCTTCTGTTTTTTATTCCCCTCAATTAACTTAGTGAATTCAGTTAGTGCTGCCCATATGCACATGGATGTGACCATCATCAGAGCACAGGCTGCTTACTGTTGACCACATTCCCAAAGAACAGTGGCTGCCCCTCTTGAAGCCACTGTCAGCTGCCAGGCTGCTCTGAGGTCATGAGTGCAGCAGCCATGGCAGGTCCAGAAGACAGCATTTCACAATACTCCTCTCCATCCCCAAGCTCTTACATTCCTTATGTCCCTTCTTCCGAGATGTTCCCTGACATATAGCTGTCCTATTTAGGACTGAGCACTCACAGGCACTTATTCTCAGCAGTAACCCCTACCTACCACAGAAAGAAGCTTCTTTGAAACTGAGCAACACAGATATATGGGCATAAATGTAAATAATTAGAAGGCAGTTTGACATGTGACGAGTTAGCAAAACAACAGTAGGTTTTACCCTAGGTTCTATAACCTTTCCAGCTATGAAGTTTTGACCAGGTTTATAGCACTAGGCATAGATTAGCCTCCTTAAAGCAGGTCTCAAAGCTAATTACAAAATGGTAGGTCATCCTATGTAGCAGTAGAGGACATGTTTTGCTTGTCTCGTCAGTATTGTGATATGCAGGGTCCAGTGCTGGGTAAGACCGTTGATGTCTTTTCTCCCCCCAGTGACCTGCATAGCACCTTCTGTTACTATGAAAGCTAGCCAGCAGGGAGGAAGTTTCCAGGTTAGTTCTAGATTTATTTCTCTTTGTCGTATATTGCATGATTTCATTAATCATTCTATTTAAGATTATAGTAAGTGCAGAAACTGGAATAAGATGTTTCTAATAACTAACTGAGGAAACTTGTCTTTGGAATGAGCCAAATTAAAATCTAGATTTCCTAAATTAAAATTTCAGCTTACTCGGTACCACATCCCATTTAATACAATGCACACTGACAATTCATTTCCCATATCACATGTCTCATGCTATAACTTGTCATTGGTCCTTGAGAGAGTTCTCGGAGTTGATTATAGTCTTTTGGTTGATAATAAGGTTACAGTTCTCAAAAATTTGTAAATTGATAGTATGTATAGAACTATTAAGAAAAGCTGAATAGTTAATAAGACTAAGAATTGAAGCTGGGGGTGGTGGCACACGACTTTAATCCCGGCACTGGGGAGGCATAGGCAGGTGGATCTCTGAGTTCAAGGCCAGCCTGGTCTACATAGTGAGTTCCAGGCCAGCTGGGGCTACAGGGAGACCCTGTCTCAAAAAGACCAAAAAAAAAAAAAAAAGAATTGAGGTGGAAAAGTATATATAAATTGTGAAAGAATAAATAAATTAAAAAACATAATTTAGTGGGTTTTTCTGTTTTGTTTTGTTTTAACCTGAAGCAGGATCTCATATGTCCTTGGTTGGCCTCAGTGTAATCAAGGATGACCTTGACCATCTGATCCTCCTGCCTTTATCTCCTGAGTGCTGGTTATGTGGTTCTGGGGATTAAATCCAGGGCTTCATGCATTCTAGGTAAACACTCTACCCGTTGAGCTGCATCACCATGATTGAAGTTTTATTTTGGTAATTTACTAAATTTGAACTAGAAAATATAAAGTAGCTAAGGTATTTGCTTACTTTACAGGTTTAGGGATCATGTTCTTTGTTCATTGTGGGCTTTAGTGCAATCAGAATTTAACACAAAGTAGCGAGTAAATATTGTCTCTTTAAAAAATAGGAGATAGAGCCGGGCGTGGTGGCGTACACCTTTAATCCCAGCACTTGGGAGGTAGAAGCAGGCGGATCTCTGTGAGTTCAAGGCCAGCGTGGTCTACATAGTGAGTTCCAGGACAGCTGGGGCTACAGGGAGACCCTGTCTCAAAAAGACCAAAAAAAAAAAGAAAAAAAAAATAGAAAAATTACTATGTGGGGCTATGGTTGTAGCTTAGTTCTTAGAGTCCTTGCCTAGCATGCATGAGGCCTGGGGTTTGATTCCCAATACTGCATAGATCAGGTAAGGTAGCTTATACCTTTCATTCTGGTGTTCAGGACTTGGAGGCCAAGAGGATCAGAAGTTCAAGGCCGTCCTCCACTATTTAGGGAGGTGTAGGCTAGCCTGGGCTAGAGAACCTGCCTCAAAAACAAAACAAAAACAAACAACAGAGTAAAATAAAAGCATATTTTTTTCATTCTACCAAGATTGTCACTTTTCATTTGTGTTTAAAGGCAAAGTTATCATTGCAGACAAGTAATCAGCATTCCTCCCAGGTAAGACTTTGAATACATTACATTTATATTTTATGACATACTTAAGGTATTTAACTTGAGTTTTATCTTTTGGAGCATTGAATCTAAAAAAACAGACTGAGGCAGTGACCCTTTCGGTCATTGCCCATTGTCTTCTCCAGTGTTCTTCACTTCATTCTGTCTTAAGCTCTATTTCCTACAAAAAAAAAAAATTGGGTGTGTTTATTTAAGTCTTGGAAGTCTGCTTACTGAGTATATTTCCTTATTAGAAGAGAGATTTTTTTACTAATTTTAATTTTTTTAAATTATGGATTATACCTTTAAGTTTCTACCTGCAATATATTATAGATTAGTGACAAGTTTATTTTATTTTCTCAGAGACCATCTTGGTGGCCATTCGAGATGTCTCCTGGTGCATTAACTTTTGCTATCATATGGCCTTTTATTGCCCAGTGGTTGGTGCATTTATATTATCAAAGAAGAAGAAGGTAATACTATAGTCTTATAGTTTGAAGTAGTGCATAAACTCGTTTATTTTTTATTTTCATTTTATGCGTATGAGTGTTATGCCTGCATGTAAGTGCACCCATGTCGCACAATGCCAGTGGAGGATAGAGAGGCTGTCGGATCCCCTGGAACTTGCGTTATGGACAGTTGTTGGCTGCCATGTTGGTGCTGGGATCCAAACCCGGGTCTTCTGCAAGAACAGTCAGTATTCTTAACCACTGAGCCACCTCTCCAGCCCCATGCATAAACTCTTGTAACCTCTAGTAGAACTTGCAGCAGCAATTGAAGAGATAAATCCATTTTATAGACCTGTCATACTGAGCTTTCTATACTCATTCTGAGACTAAGATTGCTTTGGGAAAAGTATCTGTGGATTTCTAGGTACTCATTTTCACAGGAATATACAATGGATTTGTACACTTTTTGAAAAATTATTTTATGTTTATGAGTCTGCATGTATGTTAAGTGCACGTGTCATGCAGTGCTCACAGAGGTCAGAGGTCAGAAGTCAGTGTTGGATTTCCCTGGAACCGGAGTTACCGAGTTCTTAGTCACCAAGTGGATGCTGTGAATTGAAACTGGGTCCTCTGCAAGAGCAGCTAGTGCTCTTAACTTATGAGCCATCTTTCCAGGCTCTGTACACTTAAAAAATTTTTTTATTAATTTTATTTTCTGTGTATGAGTATATTACTTGCATGAAGGGCATCCAGGTTGTGCAATGCCCATAAATGTTAGAAGAGGGTGTCAGATCCCCTGGAACTGGAGTTATGGTCAGTCTAGCCACCATATGGGTGCTGCGAATGGAACCTGGGTCCTCTCTAAGAGCAGTTAGTGCTCTTAACTCCTGAGCCATCTCTCCAGCTGTGGATTTGTACACTTTTAAATTGTTTAAAATGAAAATAACTATAAGCATCCTAAGTTTTATAGCTAATGAAGAAACAGTGCTCTTACAGTCTGGTGTTTTTTTTAGAAAGAACTTTTAATAGAATTTCAGAAGCAGAAGTTGCTGTCTTGGTGGCATTTATCCCTTTGAAAGTCTATTTATATGTGTATTCTCTCAGTTGTTAAGTTGTAGACCTTAATTTAAATCAGTCTTTTCTCATGTAGCTGAAATTTGTATTATGATGGTGGGGTTATGATGGTGGGGTGTAGTGTTGTCTGTTTTAAATTTCTATATCCTTCATAATAGAAGAAAATGAGAACCAAATGTGTATTCATGCTAAGTTTAAGCAGTAGGATGTACACAGTAACACCAAAGGTAGGTATTTACATATTTTTGCTGAGTTTTAAAACCTTTTTCATTTAAAAAATTATTTTTTAAATTTTATTTTATTTGAGGGGTATTTGAGGTAGAGCCCAGGGCCTCATACTAAGCAAGCAATCTACCAACCCTCAAAATTCTTTTCCTGTTTACTTTGTAGAATGTTAAGAAAATCTGGAGTTGGAGGTAGAAGCATGTTGGATAAGGAAATGAGTTTTAGGCTTGAGAATATTTAGTCTGGTATAATTTAATCTCATAGTTAAAGGAATGGAGACTGCTTTGGAGGAGAATGTACTAAAGAGAACAGTCTAGATCTGTAATTATGATTTGCTGTTTGATAAGTGTATAAATTTAAAAGTAAAGGGTATTACTCATACTGTCACTGTTTAGTTGAATTAAAAAACTTACCCTTGGGGCTGGAGAGATGGCTCAGCAGTTAAGAACACTGACTGTTCTTGCAGAAGACCTGGGTTTGAATCCCAGCACCCATATGGCAGCTAACAACTGTCCATAATCCCAGTCCCAGGGGATCCAACAGCCTCTTCTGTCCTCCACAGGCATTCATTGCACAACACAGGTGCACTTACCTACATGCAGAGAGATCCACCTGCCTCTGTCTCCCCAGTGCTGGGATTAAAGGCATGTGCCACCATGCCTGGCTTTTTTCTTTTTATTTTATGTGTATGAGTGTATTGCCTGCATGTATGTGAGTGCACCCGTGTCGTGCAATGCTGCAGAGGTCAGAAGAGGGCACCAGATTGCCCCGGAACTGGAGTTAAGGATGGTTCATAGCCACCATGTGGGTTCTGGGAATTGAACCCAGGTCCTTTGCAAGAGCAGTCAGTGCTCTTAACTGCTGAGCCATCTCTGCAGCCCCTAAATACCACTTCTTGGGGCTGGAGAAATGGATTAGTTGTTAAAAGGGTGCATTGCTTTTCCTGAGGACTTTTGTTTGGTTCCCAGCACTATCGGTGGGTTACACCCACCTGTGACTCCAGCTCCAGATTTCATATCCTCTCTGGGCCTCCTTGGGAACCTGCAATCACATGCACGTGCCCTCACACAGATAACATACACATAATTAAAATAATAAAATTTCACTCCTGCCAATGAGTTGCTTAAGAATTTCTACAGAGAGGAATGAATTTGTAATGAGGCCTGTAATTCATGCAATTTGGCATCTTGAGTGAGGGAAGTTTTTGCAGATCATGTGATGGTTGTGTTCTAGTCCCTGGAAAATAAGTCTGGGTTGTTAAGCTTTTTTTTTTTTTTTTCATTTTCATAAAATTTTGAATTAATTTTCCCAAGTATTAACTGTAGAGTAGTAGCCTGTTAGAAAAGGATGAGATGTAGACAGTAAGAGGAGGAATATACATTGAAATTATTTATTAAAAACTGTTTGAGGGCTGAGATTATATAATAGCTTGCTGATATAGTATAGCATATGAAAGGCCTTGAGCACCATCAATCAATAAATGAATAGATACATAAAAACTGTTTGATAATTTCAACACCTGTAATTACATCTTTTCTGCAGGCTAAGTCACATGAGGTAATTTCATAAGTATCACTTATAATTTTACAGGTTTATCTTAAATTTGAATATTGTGTTATTGTCCAGAGAATTCTTTGGTATGACTGTGCTTCGTATTCAGGTTGCATTTATACTTACAGAAAATTGGTTTTTACTTTCTTTTTTTAAGAAAACTAAACTGAAGAAAATGGCATTTTACTCAAGAAGACAGCTGGGCCTGGGTGACCTAAGAAATGAAATGGATTGTGGAATTCACAAAAAAATCTCAGTTTGTGATGATTACATTTTTTTTTCGTCCAGTAGTTTGGTTTATATGCATACATATTCTTTTGCACTACACAAATGGTAACATTTTAAGGACTAATATTGCTGATACTTGAACAATCAATCTCAACTAAGTTATAAACAGCATATATAGATTTACTCTACTTTTGAGGTTGAAGTACATTAAGTTATTAATTACTGTTTAGTAACATGTTTACCTGATTATTTCCTATAGAGAAATATAAGCTGCTTTTCCAAGGCACAATTGTTGATTATGACATCAGATTTATAAGTATTTTTACTTTTCTAAATTAAATATAAGGCGGAAAACCAGGAATGAGTTTTAAATGAGGCTACATCAATTTTATATGAGTGATTGAATTGTCATGCCAAGTAGTAGAAAGCAGCTGGAATTCTCCGTGGTCTGCACTTAAAGTCTTGGGCTTTCACAACTCAGAGTCAGTGTTCAGGCATCATTATTGAAAATTATTGTCCTGCCAGGTGTGGTGGCCCACGCCTTTAGTCCCAGCACTAGGGAGGTAGAGGCAGGTGGATCTCTGTAAGTTCGAGGCCAGCTGAGTCTACATAGTGAGTTTCAGGCCAGCTACAGGGAGACCCTGCCTCAAAAAAAGAAAAAGAAAAAAAATCATTGTCCTTTATACTAGGCTTACTTTGTACAAATGAATCACAGATGTGACCTGCTGATGGAAATGATGAAGAGTGGGCCTAATGTAGGTTCAAAAGTATGTGCTGAGCCTACATAGATCATTAATTAGACGTTAATTGAATATACTTATTCCTTTGTAATCATTTTTTCAGGTAAGGCTACCCAGTGTCTGCTTCCTAGGGTGCTTTGAAATAAAAAATGAAAACTTACACTGTTTCTACAAAGATAACAAAAGAAAGGCATGAAGACTCCTTTTCTGCAAGTGGTAAACTACATACAGTCTAGATTCTTAACCTCTTAGTGCCTCAATTTTTCCTTTGGGGTATACTTCACAAGGGTCTTAGAAAGATTTGCCAGCTTAAAGGCCATATATGTCCACATGGTTAAGGCATGCTTAACTAATAGAAATTTAAGTTTCTTAATCCCCTTGTTAGACCAAAAGGAAAATCCTTGAAGACTGTGTTTGGAAAATCATACTTCCTGTAGTTTCCCAAACTACTGCTCACTTACATACCTTGTGCTTTAAAGATTTAATTTAAAAGCTTTATAGCGAGTAAGTTCTGTCTCCTGTAGCTCAGGCTAGCCTCTAACTTTCTGTTGCTGGGGGTCTGGAACGCCTTATATTCCTGCCTCTGCCTCTCAAATTGCTGGGATTACAGGCATGTACCATGCCTGGCTTTGTGTAGCAAATAATTTTAAGGCATTCTTGATATATGTAAGACCTTGGGTTTGGCACCAACATTGGAATGTTTTCAGTAAGAGGGAAAGAATGACTCCATCTCTAGTATGTAGGGCAGTTCTTTGAAGAAAGGAGTAAGAATATAATTTGCTTTTCCCAGACCTTTTTTTCTTTAATGTAACTTGATTTTTAAAATTTTGTATCACATCTTGACTGATTTGTCTAAAAGGATTTACAAGTACTTGCTTAAAAACAAAACAAAACTCTATCTTCTACTTATTTTCAAGAAAAAAAGCAAATAACTGGATTATATATAGAAATAAAGTTGAGACATGTGGATCAAGGGTTATTTTTAAAAAGTATGTATGAACTTGGTATCAGAAAATGATGGCTTGTCACTTATATAAATAAAATGCAAATTAAGACTGTAACCAGTTGTGATTCATTACAAGCACTCAAGGATAACTAACTCCTAAGGATAACCGTTTGTATCTTATTCCAAAATCTTACTGTATAGTTTGAAAGCAGTTTGTACATAGTTCTTGTATATAAAAGATGTAATTATAGGGTATAGTGGTAATGCTTTAAAACAGAAACCTCATTTTAAAAATTGACAGCTGTGGTTATTTTTTTAATGATCAACTTTTCTGTTTATTGTAAACCTAAATTAAAAATAAAAGGCTAATGAGAAATAACATGGTTTTTATTACTTAACTGTATTAATTATGTACAAAGATAAAATAAAATAAATAGTATAAAATCATATAAAGCAGTCCTAAAGGGTAGGAGGCATAGCTTTTCCACATGCCTAGGATGTGGGAGGCCCAAAGCTCAATCCCCAGTTCCATCAACCAACCAACCACCCCCCCAAACCCTAAATAAAGCCATATTATATGTAATTGGATTAAAAAATGAATAAAATTTAACTCATTTTTGTCATCTGAAGGGATCTGTGATTTAGGAAAAAAAAAAAAAAAAAAAAAAAAAAAAAAGAGACAGGGCTTCTATATAGCCCAGGCTGGCCTCAGACTTGAAGCAATCCTCTTGCCTCAATCTCCGAAGGACAAAGGAAAGAAATTTTAGGGTCCCACAGATGGGAAACTGGGAAGGTAAATATGTAGAGTAAGGTTTGCTTAGAGCTTTCTGGTGCTGTCCCTAGTAAAATAGGATTTGTAGCCTACCTCTAGACAGGAAGGCAGAGGACAGGAATAACCTGACCATGGTGTGCCTTCAGCTGAAACAGTGTTTCTGCCAAAGACATTCTAATTTCTTAAGGAAAAAAAAATTGTGTAAATTTCTATGAGCAACAGTTAGGATTTACAGATTCTCACTGTAAAGCCTTTGACTGACCTGGAATTTGCTATGTAGATGAGGCTGGCCTAAAACCCACCTGCATCTGCCTTCTGAGTACTGGGATTAAAGGCATGCACCATGAACACGTGGCCACAAATGAATTTTCTACTCAAGGACTCTTCTTTATTAAAAGTAAGTCCATTGTACCTTTCTCCAATCTAGTACTGTTTCAGCTTTTATCATTGTTTATTTTGTGTGTGTGTGCGTTTGTGTGTGTGCACGTGCACTCATGTGTGCACCCACGTGGTGAGAGGACAATGTGCAGAGTTGGGAGTCAATTCCCTCCTTCCACCATGTGGATCCTGGGGACTGAACTTGGGTTATCAGGCTTGGTGGCAAGTACCTTTACCCACTCAGCCATCTTGCTAACCCTAGTTTGTTCCTTAATCTGTTTTTACTAATTCTGACTCTAGAAAGTAATTAGTATTTGTGTAGTTGTGTGTTCCTGGGGATTGAACTCATGACTTTGTGCATGCTTGGCAAGTTCTGTACGTCCAGCTCCCCGATGTAGTTAATATTAATTTCCAGTATATTAATGTTTATTGTTAACCTACCCAAGGGCTTTTAATATGGCAGCACAGTGGTTTAGCCATTTGACTCCAAAGACTGTTCTTTCTACTGCTTGACAATACTATATAAAGGATGATAGACTGAATGAAAGAATTATGCTTTCAGCTTCAACGAGGGAAATGCCAGGGGCCGGTGATGGTAGGGTATGGCTTGTGCATGGATGTCATCTTCTCTGTCATTGCATTTAGTTTTGCATCCTGATAAAATGTTTGATTCCAGCCCTGGATAGATAGATGAGCAGGATCCTCTGGGTCCTCAGATCCTCAGATGGTAGAGCAAGAGGAGCCTGGATAGTGTAGAATATGCTCACAGCTTCTAGCTGCCCAGTTTAGTGCATCAGGCTGCATCATATATTTGTTCACAACAGGTTTGTTAAGCATAAGCATTATACAAGAACCTGTCATGTTAAAACAGATTTAGTCTGCCCTTGGTTAATTTATGATCTGATGGGGAAGGCAGACCCAGCTTCACCACGTCTAATCTGCCATTAAATGTAACAAATCAGCAATTAAGAAGTCCTTTCCTGTCTCATGGTGGGCTTAATAAGTTCCTATGTGAACTGATTACAAGAAATAAAGAGGAGGTACAAAAAAGAGAGCCTGTTATGACCAAGAAATGTGGAAAATATGATCTTTGGACAGTGTAGTGTCATAGGCATTCTGGGGATCACACATGCCAGGAAAGCATTCTCCTATTGAACTACACCCGTGTTCCCAAACTGACATTCTTAATCTTAAGATAATGTAAGGAGTGCTCTAAAAGATGATGAAATTGACTGTAATTATCAGTATCAGTCCTTAGGATAAATTTTCTAAATACTTAGTATTTTACTAGAAGGGGTGACTATTAGGAACATTAGTCATCATTAACATAAGCTCAGTTAAACCATTAACCCACAGATTCAGTTACATACCACTAATTATCATGGTGTGCCTTTGAATTTAACAGTTTTAAACTTATCTTTATAGACTACATTATAACTGGATGCTGACTGGGATGGTAATGGAAAGTAAAAAAACACCAGAGCCAAAGTGCAAAGGTATTTTAATACTCTTATTAGCAGAAACCTTACCTATGCTACATTTACATCTGAATTTTGCTCTTTTGTAAAGGGTTACATATGCTGAGAGCTTCCATGAATTTCATATAATACCTGAGCTGTATCTTAGTACACGCTCTTTGAAAAGAATGCTGACAATCATGTTACAGCTCTGCTGACTATATTACTATTTGTCTCTGATTATGTTAGAAATAAGACACGAAGCATGGAATTTTCTATTAAAAATGAACAGGCTATTAAAATTATGTAACACATACAACACCCAACCTTCCCAATACTATTTTAAACAAATAGGAATTGGAGAGGGAGGTACCAAAAGCAGCCAAGGCAGCAAAACTGTATCCCTAGCACAGTAAGCTAAAGCCTTGGTTCTTCTGTGTACTCCTGCACAGTCCTGGCTGGCCTCCAGTGTAGAGACCAGGCTGGCCTTGATCTTGAAATTGCACCTTTCCTCTCGTCTTGCCTCTGCCTCCTCAATATGATGATTTTAGGCGTGTGCCATCACATCTGGCCCCATCTAATTTTGAAGTTACATTCAGATTATATGTCTTGCCTAATATGACTGCCCTCAAGACCACAGTTTTATAGGCAATCATGTACAAGTAAATTACATTCAAATGCAATGGTACTTTTTCCCTAGTAACACCAAATGAATAGTAGAATGAAATCAACAGATAATAGACAAGCTTATGGCTCATTCTCTATGTATTGGTAGTGTCAGTTTATTGATAACGTTATTCTACATAAAGTGCACTGAATAAATAAAATGGAAAAAAGTGATGTTATACGCAGTTCTAAGGTTAAGATAAGTTACTGATTAATAGTTTAATTCTATAAAAACTGTTGCATACATTAATTAAAAGCTCACTGGCTTGTATCTAGAATTAAGGAACAGAACATGTAACTGTGAAGATGACCCTAATCTACAAGGTCAGATAAAAGGGACATTGATGTATTACAGACTAAATCCAGATATGGTCAGGTGCTGAGCATTGTTCCTGGCATCAAAATAGGATGTATCTGTTTCATCATCTGGTTGGGGTACAAAAGGCATAGTTTGATGCTGTAGATTTTCCCAGTCCACATCACTGAAGAGAGGATGATGTTTCAATTCTGGGGAGGAAAAATAATGTAAAACAAAATCATGTTAAGCTCTGCTTTTAGGAATTAAAAAGTGTCTCATATTTCTTGCCCTACTTTATTTACTGGTTTCACCATAATGTGTCTCCCTAGTATGCCATTATCTTCTCACACAATCCCTCACTTGATGAGTGCTTAGCTGACTTCTACATGACTCCCTTCCCTACTTCTGGATCTCATATGACTAAGGTTCCAGTTCTCATTCCAAGGCCTCACCATCTTTTTATATTGTGGCAGTCTTTAGCACTATCTATTGCCCTTAACAACTGTAACATGAAGTTCATCTTTCACTTTGTTTTCTATGCCTCATGTTTCTTCATGATTTTACATAGACATTGGTGAAGGTTTGTTATATTTTTTGTTTATTATCCTTTTGCTTTGTTTTTGTCTTTTGGTTTATTTGTAAGGTTTCACACTGTAGCCTAGGCTGGCCTATAAGTTTTGGCAGTGCTGTTGCCTCCGCCTATACAGACTGCTGGGCTTATAGGCATGTGCTGCCTTACCTGGGGACATTTCTCATACATTTTCTTCATGATCTTTTCACTCTTCTGATTTCACTGACTGCATCTTTACAATATATTGACTGGCTAGCACTATAGCTATAGCCAGAATCCTTCTTCCACAAGACTCCTGCTTACAAGATGCCAGACTTTGTTTACCTCTTCACATTTTCCTTATGGTCACCCTATTTCCTTCTACTAAAACCAAAACATGCTCATTTATTTGCCTATACTGTGATATTTAGTTGCTAGAAATAAATTCCCTTCTCTTTAATCCTTCACTTTTTTTCGATGCTGCGGATTGAACCTAAGGCCTTGCCCATGCTATGCACGTGTTCTACCACTGAGCTGTATCTCCAAGCCCCAAGTTTTTTTCTTAGACAGGATGTATCTGTAACCCCAGATTGTCTGGAACTCATGATGTAGACTAGGCTGGCCTTTTATCAGAGATCCTACCTATCACCTCTGCCGCCTAACTGCTGGGATTTGGATTAAAGTTGTGTGCCACCATTGCCTGGCTTCTCACTTTTTTTGGACAGGGCCTTCTCTGGAGCCCAGGCTGGCTTTGAACTCATGGCAGTTCTGTGTCAGCTTTTCACATGATGTCTAGATCCTTTTTAATGAAATTTGTACTTTTAAAATATTTGTGTGTGTGTGTGTGTGTGTGTGATGCTGTGGTAGACACACTAAGAACTTGGTTTTCAAAATTTTGCCACCTGTGGTATCCTGGGATTGAATTCAATTCTTCAGACCTGTACAAAAGTACCTCTACCTACTGAACCTTCTCATCAGCAATCTTAGTTTAAGACTAAGTCTACGACTGGAGAGATGGCTCAGTAGTTCAGCGTACTGGCTGCTCTTGCAGAGGACCCAGGTTCGATTCTCAGCACCCACACAGTGGCTAACAAACGTCTGTAACTCCAGTTCCAGGGGATTTGACGCCCTCTTCTGGTCTCCATGGGCTCTGCACCACATAGGTGCACTTACATACATAGAAGCTATACACTCTTACACATAAAAATAAAAGACTAAGTCTTATCTATGCCTAATACAATGCCTACTACACAGTAGTGTGTGCATGTTTGTGAGTGCAGGCTTGTGCATGCTGTGGTACACCCATGGAGGTCAGAGGCCAACCATGTGTCAGTTCAAGCCTTCCACCTTGTTTTGAGACAATACTTCTTGTTCACCTCTGTGTATGCCAGGCTAGCTGGCCCACAAATATCTAGGGATTCTTCTGTCTCTGCCTCTCACTTTGCTGTATGTGCACCTGGACCATAGACGTGTGTTACCCTATCTGGCTTATGTGGTTCTGGGGATCAAACTCTGGTCCTCATGCCTGTGCAGAAAGACTATCCACTGAGCATCTCCACAGCCCATGATAGTGTTTTATAAGAGCAATCTAACCAATACATTGTATTCAGATACTCCAATCTATTCTGAAACATTTCAAGGATTCACATTGTCCAAGAACAATGTAGAGTTTACATTTGTGGGTTTTTAATGTATTAAATGTGACTTAAGTCAATAGGCATCTTCAAAAAGCTAAAGATGAGTTTTAAAATACTTGAAACCTCACTTTACACAGATTTCTGCTCAAATTTCATACCTCATAGATCTTCCCAACTATCTATAAAAACCCTTCTAGTTATCACTTTGTATTATTTTTCCACTGTATTTTTCTTCACATTACTTATGACTATACTATGTTACAACTATATTTGTTTACTCTTGGTCTTTCCATTTTAATATAAGTTCCACAACTAAAGGGACATGAGTCTAGTTCATCACTTGGGGTAACCCCAGGACTGGGAACAATATTGACAAATGCCTATACATCACTCAGTAGGTTCAGTTACATTAATAACTGATCTTTAACAAATTTTTAGCTGTGTGTGGTGGCGCTTGCCTTTGATCCCAGCACTCAGGAGGCAGAGGCAGGCAGATTTCTGTGAGTTCAAGGCCAGCCTGATCTTTGTAGCGAGTTCCAAACTAGCTGGGAGCTACAAAGAGACCCTGTCTCAAAAAGACCAAAAAAATAAAAAGAATAAATTTTTATGTTTATATATATGTGTGAATGCCACATATCTGCAGGTGCCCATGGAGGCCAAATGAGTTGGAGTTACAGGCTGTTATGAACCTGTGGGTGCTAGAAAACAAACTCAGGTCTTCTGGAAGAGCAAAAATGCTCTTAACCAGCGAGCCATCTCTCCAGCCCCCAAATACTGATCTTACCAGAGGGAACACTTAGAAGCTGATGTAACAAACATTATATATGCACATACACAGTTTGTGTGGGAGTACATGCTATGGTGTGTATGATTAGAGCTCAGCTTTTATGAGTCACTTTTCTCCTTCCACCATGGGTTCCGATTTTGAACTCAGGTTATCAAGCTTGTGTAGCTTCTACTCTTTGAGCCATCTTGCCAGCCTGAAATGATGTATTTCTAAAGCTCAGTTTTCTAGACACTCTCACAGAGATGCATTTTGGAACATAATGCTTTTGTGTCTGTCAATAACTTATTCCAAAAAAATTTTTTAAGTGCCGGAGAGCGAACCTGGCAGTTCACCCACACTACCCATGCTCTCTTATCACTGAGCTATACTCTAAACCTTGCAAACATAATTTTAGGGTTGAATATACATACTCATTCATTAAAAAAGGCCATGAAATGGTTCATGATGTACCAACTGTGTCTTACAGGGACAGTCTGGGACCCAATACATTTTTTCTTGGTCTTATTGAGACAGGGTCTTCCTGTAGCTCCAGCTGGCCTAGAACTTGCTCTGTAGACCAGGCTGGCCTCAAACTCACAGAGATCTGCCTGACTCTGCCTCCTGAGTGCTGGGACTAAAGTCAGGTACCATTATGCTTGGTGACCCAACACATTTTTAATGAGTAACAGAAATTAAACAATATGAAATTATAGAACAAAGTATTCATAAAGTAGATTTTCTGTTCTTATAGATTGTTAATTTTATCAGGTATGAAAAACCCAAAATATTGATAACGTAAGATTGTTTCAGGGCTGGAGAGATGGCTCAGCGGTTAAGAACACTGGTTGTTCTTGCAGCAGAAGACCTGGGTTCAAATCCAAGCACCCAACACGGCAGCTAACAACTATCCATAACTCCAGTTCCAGGGGATCCGACAGCCTCTTCTGTCCTCTGCAGGCATTGTATGACACTGGTGCACTTACCTACATGCAGGTAATACGTGCATACACATAAAATAATTAAAAAAAATTATGCCGACTGTGGTGGTGCACACCTTTAATCCTAGCACTTGGGAGGCAGAGGCAGGCGGATCTCTGTGAGTTCGAGGTCAGCCTGGTCTACATAGTGAGTTCCAGGTCACCTGGGCTACAAGGAGACCCTATCTCAAAAAGACCAAAAAAAAAAAAAAAAAAATAGTTTCAGGTACGTACTTCATGACAGTAACAAAATTCAATTGGTGACTATTACAATTTCATTACTCTGCCTTAGTGCTGGAATTAAAGGCATGCACCACCACATCTGCCTTTCTGACCTTGAATTTTTTTGTTTGTTCTGAGACAGGGTCTCCCTGTGTTGAGCAGTCAGGTTATCTGTGGTATTGTCCTGGAACTTGATGTTACTAATAACTACCACCTACAGCCAATCAAGTGACATAAAAATTGACATAAAAACATACCTTTCATTCCAGCTCTCTTTGTATCATCAATGGTTAAAAGTATTTCCATTGCACTTTGAGCATTATCAGATAACTTTTCTTCACCTTCTGGCCAAGGGATGTCTATAAATACAAGTAAAGTGGTTTAACTTTCCCTTGAAGAGCCATACTAGGGTACGTTTTACTTTCTTCAGTTCTCTGTGAAGTCTACACCCATGTTCTGGTGTGCTTTACTTTCTTCTGAGTGCCTCTTTTCTCTATACCCTCTACCCTCCCTCCTCCCCATGCTTAACCCTGTATTAAAATATTTTTAGGCAATTAAGTATGTTAGTCATTCACAACTGCGTACAGATAAATGACTTTTTGTGTGTGCTACGAATTGAATCCAGGGTTTTGTGCATGCTGGACAAGTGCTGTACCACTTACCTGTATCCCCCAACCCTGGTTCTACCTTAGAAGAAGAAAAAGAATCACCTCTTTTCAGAATATTCTGGAATACTTGCTGTGGGGTTTCATCATTAAAGGGTGGAATTCCTGTTAGAAATTCAAACAAACAAACTCCAAGTGCCCACCAGTCTACAGCAGGACCTGGAATTGAAGAGGATGTAGCTGAATTTGCAAGCATTTTCTACAAGTATCTTACAACTGAAACTAAGTACATGGATAGTTGAACATAAAACCAAGACCTACATTGCCTGTGGCTGTCTTCTGTTGCCATATAGCACAGAAATCCCAAATTACCTTCATTTAGGCAATGTGTTAATTATTGCCTTAGTTTTCAAGAGGTTACATTAGCAGCCGCCATAGATATTTAAAGGAACATCAAGCTACTTTTTAATGAATAACTTCTGGTATTCTGGATATTTTATGAATTCTAAATCAATGTACATGAAGTAGTGTATTTAAAGACTCTAAAATAGACTGCTTAATTTCAAGTCAAGAAACAACTACATTTTGATGCTTATAAAGTACATTTGTACTAACTGAAGGATAGCCTGATAATTATGGAATACCCTAAATAGTGTTTACTCTGTTTTGTTGATGCAGAAATACAACCTTCACCTCAAAGGGAATGAGAGTTTATAATAGAGATAATAGAGAGTGTATCAAAAGATACACTCCGCTCTGGTGGTTGTATCAGACTCTATTAATTACAGAATGAAGAAAGTCATAAATCAGGCATTTGCCAGATACACTGGTGGGGCCCACAGGTAGACGGGATGTACACAGCAAAGCAGGGAAAATACAGTTAGAGGCTTCAAATACCGTAGGATGACATTCTTAGCTTTTGGATTCGTAGAAGCTAGTGGTCTGCTAAGAATACATTTTTATTCTTGTTCATTGCTTTTTTTCTTTTATTTTCTAAGAATACATTTAAAAAGTTTTCAGAGTCATAAGGATGTCAGGTCAGACATGGGTAGGCAGTGAATGGCTTCCAAAGGCACTAAAAATAGTCCCAAGACAATTTGGCTCTGGTCTTCACCATCTTAATTCTCCATAATCATGATGTTCAATTGTTTGGTCTTGTAGACTCTTTAACACAGGTATAGCCTTTCTTCTTTTCTAGGAACTTAATTCACAGGTCCCCTTATTAGCCAACCATCAGACGTTGTACATGCAGAAGCTAAATGTTTTTGTTCTACAAGACTAGGAAGGCTCATTCCTGTTGTGATAAAGATGGGGCTGAGTACAGTCTTCAGGAGAGAGAAACAGTTGGTAAAAACATTAAGAAATAAATGACTGGGGCTGGAGAGATGGCTTAGTGGTTAAGAACTCTAACTGCTCTTGCAGAGGACCTGGGTTTGATTCCTAGCACCCATATGGTAGTTAACAACCATCTGTAGCTCCAGGTCCAGGGGATCTGATGCCTTCTTCTGACCTCTTTGGGTACTGCATGACACAGGTACACTTACATACATACAGGCAATACACTCATACACAAAAAATAAAATAATAAAAGAAACTGACTGGCTCATATCAAATTTACCACCTATTATGACCTGGGTCTGATATTCTTTTTTGGTAAAGGGATAAAACAAAATCACTTCTTTTTTTGGGGGGGGGTCTTTTTGAGACAGGGTGTCCCTGTAGCCCCAGCTGTCCTGGAACTCACTATGTAGACCAGGCTGGCCTTGAACTCACAGAGATCCGCCTGCTTCTGCCTCCCGAGTGCTGGGATTAAAGGTGTGTGCCACCACGCCTGGCCAACAAAATCACTTCTTTAAGCAACTTTTTATCACTTAAATCCTTACAGTAGACAGATTAGGGCTGAATTTTCTATTAGTGTATTTAATTTTAAGAAATGTTAAATTCATGTGTATAGCTAAAGGCTACACAACAAGAAACAATGCCAGACAGGAGATACCTTCGTTTATTATGTATTACATGGATATTCATGTGGACTGTAATATTATGTACGTCAATAATAGTATGTATTATGTAATATTAATGATCTATTGTACTTGCTTATATGCTAGTGGAAAGTAGTAGGGTGGCCCAAAAGACTCCCAGACAGTAACCCAGCATAGACCTGGGAAAATGAACAGCAGACCCCAATCTTATCTAAAGGAATATTGACAACTGATTGCTACTAGGTGAGGAACAGCTGACCTTCCTAAAACAACTCTAGATAGGTCGACTAGATTCAGCAGATGGACAAGCACTGGGGAATGGCTGGAGGTGCCAACAACACAGTGAACAGTAACAGGGCTGACAGAGTATATGGGCTCCAGTGTGTGGGAAGTGGGAGGCTATGGGAGGGTGACATCTGGGAAGTGGGTATATAGATGAATAAGATTGTGTGGGATGTTCTGTATGATATACACACACAAAAATAATAAATTAACAAAAAAGACTTAAAAATTTGTGTATGTGTGCATAACCTGTGTTGGTGTGTATATCATGGTGCACATGTGGAAAGCAGAGGACAGTTTGCAGGAATCAGGTTGGTTCTCTGCTTCTACCACGTGGTGCCCTGGGAACTGAATTCAGGTTGTCAGGCTTGGTGGCAAATTCCTTTACCTACTGAGCCATCTTACTGGCCCATATTTAAGGAATTTTTAGTAACCTTTAAAGGTTACCTATAGTGAAATTAAAGATTATATGTGTTTGTATATATATATATAT